TTGTACGTGTGAGTAACATTTTATAAATAGCGGGAGAGCGCTGGGTCCCACGGCAGCGGCAGCGCGAAGAGCCGCATTCTGTCCATTGTAGGATTGAAAGTGACTGCGAGCTGATATCACCATGCAGGTCCAACGCAGACCGTAAGTAGGCATACGCCAATAATACTGATATTTACATTTAAATATACTAAGAAAAAAAACTCCTTTTAATATCAAAATATTCTTCTTTATAAATTTATGGTAACTCTTGTTGTTGATAATATAAATAGGCCAATCCTTAAGTAAGTTTTAAAACATTTTTGATTTAGTGTATTTTTTGTGTTTCGTTTTTGCCTTTTAAGTTGCTTGTCAGACTTTGTTGGATCTTTCGCCATAATTTATTAGATTAAGTAGAACGTTTTGGGATTTACTTAAGTTTTTAAAACTTCCAAACATTGGCTGAAAAGTGTTAGGAACCTTACAACGGCATACTTTTAAATGCAAAATCAATGCTCAAAATAAATGTTTCGCTCGAATTCATTTTTAGTTTATACTTGGATTATTACCAATGAATACCAGCATATATAGCTACTCAATTAACTTACAATCAAATCAAGTGAGCTTATTTGCCCTTAAAGCGTCAAATATGCAAACGTCATCATCACTTCCTTATAGTTAATATATTTATTATATATTTAAATGTACATTTACAACACCTAAAGGCTAAATTTGCTATCCAATATATACATATTAGTATTATCGGCTGTTTTGTGTTTATGATTTGACTATAGATTTCGCAAAGACACTTTGTGATTTTTTCTACAGATTTTAACAATCAATTCGATAGAGGTAAACACAAAATACTCTCTGCAAAATGTCAGATCAATGACTCTCATCTCATTAAACGTAACACATAGCAAATGTTCACAATGGTGAGTTATCCAGAATAGGCTACCGTAATGAGAATGACATTGTTCCTGATTACAGCTTTGAATGCACCTTATAATGAAGGCTTTGCAAAGCTTACATAAGTATCCATGGCTGTAGTATACTGTATATACCACCTATAACATGTAATTATAATTATATGACTAACGGTTATTTATTTGAAAGGATCTAAATTATCTTAAATTATTTTAGCTACAACGAAATATTGACTGTTCTTACCTGACAGTTTGTAGCAAAACTAATGAAACACATTTTAGTTTTAAATCGTGATTCTTTACCACGAAAATCACATTTAGAAGTAATATACCACGAATATAATATAACTTTCAGAGTAAACACAATAGGTATTTTGACAAAGTAAGTACCGTACCTCTTGAAATATCTCTTTACACATGAGGGATACTTGGCCACCGAGGTGCGTGACATAATAATGATACAGTTTGGTTAGAGGAAAGTAAATAATTAAACGACTGTCAAAACCCTAATGTCTTGGAAGAGAGCCTATAAGCGAAGGTTCTGGCTTGTGCCTCATTAGCAGCACGTCACGCTCATTGACGTCACGGATCACGCTAATTAATACAGAGCATCACTGCAGGGGAAAGCTGAAGATTCTCTTTACAAGTCTAGTCAGTTCAAATGTACAAACATTGAATTTTTAATACATTGATGATGGATAGAGTCGAGATATTCATGCATTCAGTCCGATGTGATAGTTGTATTTTCCAATCATTGATGTTTTAATAAATTATCTCGACTGGCTAGTAACGGTTGCCGTACGAAGATCACCTCTTTACTCATTTTAGTTTGTATTCAGCTTAAAATACACACCTTGGCGACGCCAGCATTGATACCGAGTTGTTTTATCACTACTCGATTATACAGTCATTCAGCAGTTTATGCATGTATGTCTTTAACAATACAAATCATATTTGGGTACATATCAGCTGGATCTAGTTGTGAACACCCAAGGGTTGATGCTGAGACCATGTTATATAGAACTGAGGCATCGCAATATAACCTAAGTGCTATGCTATCGGTTAGATGCTATAACAAAAGGTCAACTTTATATAATAACAAGAGTTCCGCATTTCACTTATAAAACATGTAAAAGAACACTAACAAGAAAAAATCAGTCACCTTGCCATGAAACCTTTACTGATTTAGAACTAGTTGCTATTGATTTAGATCGTAAAGTTTTTGTAAACTAACATAGGCTATTATTTATTCACACACGTCAGGGTAGATGTAAGTGGGCCAGTGAGTAGTGACGTAGGCTGTGGTCTTCTGATGATAATGGGTGTGAGAACGCGACCGTGGTGAGAGCTCTTCGGTTCACACACCTGTTTGTTTACATCGCTCTTTATTTTAATGCCACCTTCCGCCATTCCCTGATACATCAGCTCGGCACGCAACGTCCAAATAGCATCGGGAACTTGTAGTATAAACTGAAATTTTCTTCGTGAGTTTATAGTTTTTTTTTGAAAACTTAACAACTGACAGAAAGTACACAGGTCACTTGGGCATGATAAGAAAACACCTCTATTACTAATTAGGAGTTATGTATTTAGATAACATGTTTTAAGAAATTTGCGTTATATTAAGTATACTTTCTTATAGAGTTTACATTTTATTTGGACAATAGCTAATACCTACTGTAGCCCATGAAATAAAAGTTTACAATAGAATTTGAATAGGGTTACTCATCTTGTTCACACCTTATTCATAAGACCACAACTTACATTTTTTATTTCCAATAAGACAGGCAACTTTATTTTCTTTTCAAATAAACCCTTTACTTAGCAAATGGAACCAAGATATTCCATATTCGTATGTGATTTGGGTAATAAGATCATAACTAGTTGTTGGTCTATGTGTGTCAAGCAATAAAAAAAAATGTATACCTGGACATTACTTTGTTAGATATTAGCCAGATATTTTTTATGCAGTAGAGTAACTCGGGACAAGAGTGTGTACGGGGTAAGAGGGGTAAGTGTACGCAGAGCGAAAATTTTTACCTTGCGCTTGAGCTAGTTTATTTATTTATTTGTCAACGGATTTACACCAATTTTACAGTTTGATTGAGTTGTAAATTGCTGCTTGTTAGAATGATTAGATAATCCATAATAATAATAACAATGAAAGGAATGTCAAATGTAACAATAATAAGAGTAAAGTATACAAGTGAAAAAACTAGGACAAAGAGAGAACTGAGTAACGATAAGCAAATACATAGTTAAATGAATAAAGAAGATATGTATACAATAAATGGCACATGGACTAACCTAGAAAACAATAAATAATATAAATAACAATGAAATAACAATAAACATGATAAATATTTTTGTGAGAACAATAAACAATACAAATAACAATGAAATGAGTTGGTACTGTACCACTAAATCTCATTCGGTGCAAGACAGAACACTCGTCATTCCTCCGTAGTTTGATGGTTCCTCTCCGTTCATTTATCTCACAATGAGGTAAAATAATTTTACCGTTATTTTGATATAATATTTGAGAATTTGGGAATTATTATACGTTATTCAAATAATTAATTCAATCCTACACAGTTTAAATGGTCATTTAATGATCTACTTATAGCCACGTTAGTTTAGTTCCATTAATGGCCACAGCGAGCAGCAGCTCATTACATGTAAAAACTTTGAATGTGGGGCAAGAGTTCGCATGCCCCAAACATGTTATTTTAGTGTTCACACCTCGTTTAAGAAATCCAAAGGTAAAAGAACAATTTAACAACCAAGGACCACTGAGCTAAAATTATAACTGGAGGTAGCACTGCCATGGCAGAAGTCTGTCAAAAGCGTGTCGCTGATTTTGTTAGGTTGGTATAGCAGCAGGTTTTTTTATCCAATAACATGGCTTCTATAACTAGGTTTGCATAGCAGTGAGTTTTTTCATCCAATAACATGGCTTCTTTATAACTCACACCTCACGCAAACATGGCGGCTGGCGACACGCATCGTTGACATTCAGTGCTACCTCCAGTTAGAATTATAGCTCAGTGCCAAGGACATCAAGTTCCAAAATTATCTGTCTAGAGGAACCGCCAAAGGAGGACTGGATTCAATGCACTTCATTCAAGTGCATAACTCTTGTTTCTTGAAAAAGGTTAGGATATACTTGTATGACAATGCATTTTATACTTTGAATGACTTTTTTAACAGTAGTGCTAAGTTAGTTTAAGCTTTGAGATGACATTTTACTTACTCATCATCAATGTATGACTATTCTCTATGTACATATTTGTATATTTATGGAGAATTAAAACTCTTTCTTTCTTTACCAATCTATATTGTTTATATTTAACGATTAAAAATATATAAAACTGTTCCAGGACTTCTAAGGCAGGGTGCACACTGGAGAAACCCGTTTCAGGAAACTGGTTTCATTAAATTGGTTTCAAGGAAACCATTTCTTTAACAAATGCACACAGAAGAAACGGGATTCCATCAGTTTCGTGATATGAATTCGGATGATGATTATGTGACTATATTGGTGGTGGCTAAAGGAAACTAAAAGAAGGAAGTATTGGGTTCCCCTGTTGATTAGGGATGGTCAACACAGTACTTACATTGTAGCTCATTAATTATGCAGTGATACGGTCAATTTTTTTTATATTTTAGAATGCCAAAGCCTCTTTTTGAACGTTTGGTGGAATTACTTAGCCCACTAATAACAAAGAAGGACACCAACCGGAGGTTAGCTCCGAGTGCTGAGGAAAAATAACAATACATTGAGGAAGTCAATAAAACCAATAGAAACGTGAAACTGAAGCCTATACGAAATCTGTTTTTTGGATTTCATGTATACCAGTTGCAAGAAACAAATGAAATTACAGTTTCATGCAACGCAGTGTGCACTGCCCTGTGTTAAACTAATCTATCTGTTGCGAGCAACTAAAGTTTCTCGTTTCATGAAATCGGTTTCCTGAAACGGGTTTCTCCAGTGTGCACCCTGCCTTACTCATTATATTTTGCTCTTACAAATATTTTTCAAGTCTTTTGGTTGCTGGGCGATTCCAATTTTATAGATTGCAAGTATTGCACAAGCTTTGGAGACACAATGACTAAATTCTAGTAAAACATTTGGGAAACTGTGTACATATTTTTACTATCATATGTAATTTGATCATAATATTAGTGTCTAGAGCTAAAGGATTAGATATGTTTAAGTATCTGACAGTGAGATCTTTTAGAGAATTTGCAGCCAATACAAGCAAATACACTTTACAAAATGTTTCAGCTCGTAGACAACTTCACACCACTCAGATACCCTGGAGGGACACACATAACCGAACGTTTCCCATGGTTTACTACTACCAAAACCCTCTCGACTGGCTTAAGATTAAATGGCAGTTGCTAAAGTTGAAGAAATGGGATAGAGATTTCAATGAGAATGATTTTTTTGTCGGTTCCACCTACGCTATTTCTTCAGTAACTCACAAAATAAGGTTGGAAAGCTACAACGAGCTCGAAGGTCTACTCACACCGATAGCCTTGTCTAAACTAAAAAGAGACATTTTGGTTCTGTGGAATGATGATATACTGAGGAACATTGCTTTAAAGTTGACTGATATTAAGTTGGCTGTTCCAACCAAAGTTCAACTACGTTCAGTTCCTCTATCTCCAGCTAAGCTGTGTGATATAGACATGTGGTACATGGCCATGAAATGGCAAGACCCTAGTAACACTGCACTTCTCATCATTGACGTTGTCGCCAGATTCAACAGGGACTTTAACCACCCTGACTGGACAATTTCCTTCTTTGAACTTAGGAAATACCATGTGCAAAACTACAATCAACTATAAGATAAATGTATGTTTTGTATTTTATTGTCTCAGTGCACAAGATTAAGATTGTGACCAGTTGTGCTTAGTTTGTAAAAAAATAAACAACATAAATTACAACCAATTAAACCACAAATATTCCAAAGCAACGTTTATTTACAAAAATGTTATAACAATGTATTTATTTACTTTTTTTAAGCGTATTAAAGCCAAACTCTTTGATAAATAAATTAAACCCCCACCAAGCAAACCTGCAGACTAAGCGAATTTCCATTTGCCTGATTTGATTTTCAATTAAATCTATTCAAATAACATTAGGTTAAACGAGTACCTAGGTTTGCTGCCTACAGGGAGAGTTCAATTAAGAAATATTGAAAACGGGAGGAGGAGACAATTAATACTAAGGTATCTTATGCGAATGAGGAGAGTAGAAAAAGAGAGACCTGGTCTAACAGAAACACATTCACTTTGTGAGATGAATACTGCTTGCCAGTTCTGCTGTACAACTTACTTTGGAAGTGAAAAAAATATATAAAAGCACATAGTGTTGTCAGGTAGAAAAGTAAACTTGCCTAATGTCAGATCAAATTTTTTTTAACATAGTTTTATTTACAATCTGTTTTGCATTTAAACAATAAGTAAATTAATGCATGCAAGATATGTTTACTTCTGTAACTGACAGATCGAGATATTTCAAAATATTTAGTAGAAACTATAATAATGCCATGGCTATGATAAGTTTAAGTACCAAGATTATACCTATACATAATCCTACCTATTATAATCTTGGCGGACCTTATGTTTTTATTGTAAACGTTTGTATTACTTGCTCTACTTCAATTGAGAAAAAACGCTAAGGGATTGTTTACTTCTAGGTTATGTTGCCAGTTCCTCTGACAAACTTATATTTTTGACTGAATTGGCCAACACAATCCAGACATTTCAAGTAAAAAATAAGAAGTTTAAAAAAACTCATTTTATGTTGAAAGTTTTAGTGCAATATTAGACCAAACATAATTGAAGAAATTAGTGTTTATGTATTCAACGATCGAGTAGTTACGGCCAAGTTTATTTTTATGATTCAGAAGAGGCAAATAATATACGCTGTTCAAAAGGAGAAAATGAAAACTGCTATCCAAATCTTATAGCTACAAGTGTTGTCCAACCTATTTTGACAAATGAATCCACACTTTAAAAACTTTGGGACAGGTATTAAGAAAAACTCCACTGAGCAACGCGAGTACGTTCTGATGCGGGCATATACTGTGACTGACAGACGTTAACCAACTTTCAAAGGTGTTGCTGCTTTAGCCCATTCAAGGCAGATTATGGCTATCCAGTTGGTAACCCAGAGTTTGTGGGTAAAAAATAGAGCACATGAAATGGTTGATATCACCCCACTTTTCAGGATTCTCTACGGGGAAAATTCGTTGGTTTAGGGGATGTCTCAAATCAAAGAAATAAAATGACCCAACGTAAATTACTTAACACAGGTTATCAGTAAGGCAACAGTTTTCTTCAATTCTCAATGCTGGAAAAACTATGTCGCAACAAGTTGACAAGAACTGAAGCAGATCGTTTAGCATTCATTAGAAGTTATCAGTAAAACTGAGAGCAGAAATAATGTAGGTGAACCTTGACGATGCGAATAGAGATATTTAAAATTAGTTAAAACAAGTTTTCAAACAACTCTAAGATGTAACTAGAATTACTCAAATTTAAGCATAACGTTTTCCTTGACGTTATGTTTCATACTATGCGGCTCATTGAGCCGCACGGGTTCTCTAGTAGATTATATTTGTATTTTTTCGTAATATGTTTAGTAATATCCCAATCTTTTGAGCTGTTTTTATATGTATATGTACGTAATAGAACATCCCAAACAGGTCTTTGACCTAGGGATGAATTGTTTCATAGTTAAATAATTCACAAGTGTGTGTGGTTAGTTAATCTAAGTTATTCTTAGTACTCTGTGTATAAACTTGTAATTCAATATGAAACAATAAAGATTTTCTGATTGATTCTGATTTCTGATATATAGTAACATTGACTACATAACATTCTAAGTTTATACTCAATGACAGTATGAGCCAATAAATAACAGTGGCTAGTCAGAGAGTGGGCTAACTTCCTACCATGCAGGCTTCTTCCTATTTATCTGGCTTAAATATGTAACACTTGGTGTTATATATTTAATATTAGTAAGTTATTGATTCATGTTTTTTTTACAATTTTCTCCAACTAAACTAGAACTGATTTGGGTGCGAGGGGTGGCACAGTGGTGGTTCTCCTCATACTGTACCATCAAAGGAGAGAACAGTTTATTGTAGTCAGAGGAGTTGACAGGTCTATGCGCTCGACCATTTGTCTCATCTTGGGACATAGTAACGTAATTGTGGGGTTTCTCAGGGGCCTGTCCTCGGAACTGTGCTGTTCTTGGTTTACATAAATGGACTGACTTCAAGTCTTGAGACTGGGATTTCTTTCTCTTTGCAAACGAAACTTATTTCGTTTCCATATCCTTCTGACACCCTATTATGTTCCCTCATTTGGGATGTTAAAATGCATCAGGAACCCGATTGCTTTTAGACTCCATAAGGAAGCAATTCGAACAATTTTCAAAATTTGCCCAAAAACTTCTTACCAAGAAGTTTTGTGTGTTGTTGTTATGTTGTGTGTATTTTAAAACGTCAATGCTTACATCCTTGAAATAACGTTTTTGAAAAATTGCTTCTCTAAAATGTCCAGGCTTAAGATCTTCCCCTTCTTCTCTGCGAAACCACCTCAATCTTTTTATACCAAGCATTCAACCACTTAAAAAACAACAACAAAATTATACTACCGGTATCTGTAACATCTATAAGGGAGTTTTGCTCTTTAATGCTTCGCCAAATCATCTAAACATTTAGGTCAAACCCAGTTTTCTTTTAATAAACCTCTGGAATTTACTGGTAACCAAATGCCCCTACTCACTGTGTCCGTGGGTGTATTGCTGACGTACAGTTATAGGCTTGGGTACATTTCAGCAGGGATTTCCATGTAATCTAAATACGTTAAACTGTATAGACTAGAACATTTGTATTTATTTGATTTATTAATTTACATAGCCAATATATTTATGTAATATTCTAGCCTATGTCTTATTAAATTATTTTTTTAGCGAACATGATTTCTCAGTAACTACCCACTCCTTCCTTACAGATTGAAGATTAATAAATGACGTGTCTATCAAGGGGGGAGAAGAGGAGGGAGAAATAAAATGAGTGGTGGGGAGGAGGCCCCTCAGTTTCCTCTTAACATTGGACACTGGCTTTTCAATAGCGCTGGTTGTGTATTATTTTTTTAATATTGAAGGTTTAAGACAGTAAGACACTGTATTTTGATTGATGTGTTGCAGAGTTGACTTCCATCAGCTCGCCAAGCCAGCGAACCTGTCCAACTCTGCCGTTCTGCGCATGCTAGAGGAGGAGGAGGCGCGCGGCAGAGGCCAGGGTCAGTACAACCATTCATACCACTAGATGTTGTACTAAAAATTATCTAAATACTTCCGCATAAATTACAATTTCTAAATTAAAATTATATTTTAATAATTTACATAAAATTGTTCGTCAAAATAGTGTAGTGTGGTGTAAATACTTCTATTGATTTTAAGTTTTCAAAATGGATTGTCCGTTGAAATAAAATAAAATAAAATAACGAGTGTTTACCAAACACCAACCTGGTGATTATATTTGGCAATGAGTGGTTATAAACAAAACATAACTTCTCTTAGAGGTTTATGAGTAGTGGTTGTTAGTCCTTTATCGGTGGGAATATATAAGAATTGTACAGAATTTTATTATTAAGTTAGCTTATACTATAATTTGACAGTTCAAGGAGCAAAGGTTATGAGGTACAGTTTCTGCTCCCAAGATTCTTAAGTTTTATGATTATGAGAATACAGTAGTTTTATTGGTGCATTTTCATGGAAACAGAAGGAACATTACAATAAAAAAATTGGGGTTACAAAAATAGGGGTTGGCTTTCTTACAAAATGTAATACAAGTTTCCCGGTATTTTATTTTTGCTTCTGTGATATTTACATTATTAGTTGCAGGTAATGATTCCTGACAAAATTTCAGTAGTCAGGGTACAGCATAGGCCTATTTATTTTATGTGAAATCATTATAAATTGTCTTTTTGCTTTAATACAGTACCCTGTGTTGTGCGATTCTTTTATAACCATCAACATTTAATATGTAAGTTTTTTCAACAAAGTAAACTTTTAAGTAAGTGTATAATTTGAAAATTAAATCGTATGTTACAGTATTTTCATACATGCATCAGCTCCTCTTAGAACTTTCACTAGGACGCCTTTTAAGTTAGCCTAGCTTGAAAGAAAGCTATTTGTTCAAACTAAGAGGTCCAATGAAATTTTGTTCCTGAAATCAAAGGTGGAGGTGTAACTATTTTATAAAACAGATTGAAACATCAATATTTTCTTTTTAGTATCCTCTCCGTTGCAAAGCACGGGTACAGCAGCTAGTATAAAATAAATTAACTGTAAACCCCTTTTGGACAGGTTCAATTTTGTACAGCCAAACAGGATGGATCAGTTTGTTACAATAGTTTATACTATTATTTTGAAAAAGCTACAAATTTGAATAAATGTTTTAGTAAATTGTAATTTGATGTAGGCATGTCATAAAAACAAAAGTGAGTCTTCCACCCTCAAAAGACAAGCCATTCATTTGTATAGTAACTTATAATCCCTGATTGAAAAGTAAGAAACAAAACTAAGAAGGCAAAATAAATAAAGATTTATTTTGCTTAGTACCTTAACATTACATGTTGTTTCACTAAATAATATATATTTTCAATTCCCATTTAGGTTATAAAATACCTTACAACTCTTATCCATTTGTGCCAAAAGGTAAGACCTTAATGCTGATGTTGGCACTCTGCATCAAGAATGAAATAGTTGCAACTCTATAATATCTAAATTAATGTACAAAGTTAGTTACAGCACATAGTCCAGGACCTGACTAGGGTTCTGTGTGCATGTCGTGTATAGAGAATTTTGCTTTTGCATTTCAATATAGGTGTCTTAGGAAGTGTTTTCCACTCGGGTGTCAAGTTCGCACCTGGTACGTTTTCGAGCTATGACGTCATCAAAATGGCGGCCATTGATTTTTTTAAATCGTATATTTCGCAAACTATTTGTCGGATTGGAATGAACTTTTTTTTGTTTGAAAGATAATTTTAAATGCTACCTGTTTTAAATTTACACATTTGTTGTATGTTTAGTACATTCTTCGTAATTTTGCAAAAACCTGTATTTTTAAATATTTTTGTGTTATTTTTGTTTGTAATGTTTTATTGATACAATTTATCAAAAACCACCAATGAAAAAGTTTTAGAACGTTTAAAAGTCTTTACAAAAATACCAAATTCGATATGTTTTACTCAAAAGATTACTTCAAGAAACTAGATAAAACTCATAAAAACACCAATTTTGGCGCAAAAACGCCTATTAGTCCGGCATCTAGGGCAGTTCGCAAGTCTTATAAAGACAGTTTTACCATTCAATGTTGATGTATGTGTCTAAATAAGTGTTATCAACTCGGGTGTCACGTCTGCACCCACTGCAGTTTCCGGTTATGATGTCTTTAAAATTGCTACATGTTACGATTTTACCAACTATTTTACTTAAAATAAGACCATTACCTTCTTTTAAGCAAATAAAAGCACAACAAATCAATGTAATTAGTCCATAAGAATGTTTCCACTGTATGAATACCCCCGGTACAGCAATCCTGTCGACTAAGCGAATTTCCATTTGCCTGGATTGATTTTCAATTAATCTATTGAAATGAAATGAAATAATATTTTATTTCCCATAAATTATAGACATATAAGTACATTGTATTTTTTTTTACTTAAATATAATACAGCAAACATTACTAACTAGATAACAAAAGAAAAATTATATTCTGTAGAAATAAAACGAAAAATGTGCAAAAAAAAATACCTTCTATAACAAAGGAAAAAGTCTACACAGGCAGGGCCTGTGCGTAGACTCGAGTTGCGAAAAAGGTTAATTTAGATGGGAGGTAAAAAAATGTATAGGAAAACAAAAAATAATTAAATTAACATTGTTTAAGAATACCTAGATTTGCTGCTTAAGGAAAACTAATAAAGTGGATTTTTTATTAAAATATTAATAGCTTAGTACTGGATAAATAAATCTGCCAAGTTTGATCAAAATATATCCATAAACAAGCCAACTACTACAGTTACAATATTGTCCATAAGAATAACATTGGAGTTTTAAATAAAAAATGTTTTTATTTTCTCAGTAACCAATAACCGTTCAAAAACACTTTCACCGTTAAAAAAACATAGGTACTCTTAAACAATGTAATTTAATAGATTAATTGAAAATCATTCCAGGCACTTAAAAACACTTCTTTAGACACATACATCAACATTGAATGGTAAAGCTGTTTATATATGACTCGTACACAGCCATCGATGACGGATTTATATGGGTTTTTGCGCCAAATTAGGTTGTTTTGTACGATTTTCTAGTTTCTTGACGTGATCCTTTGAGTAAAGCATATCGAATTTGGTATTTTTTTAAAGCCCTTTAAATGTGCTACAACTTTGTTTTTAAGTTATTTCTGATATATTTTATCAATAAAACGTTATCGACAAAAATAACACAAAAATGTTTAAAAATATAGGTTTTTGCAAAATTACGAAAAATTTACTAAACATACATGAAAAGTGTAAATGTAAGAAAGATAGCATGTAAACTTATCTTTCAAACAAACAAAAGTTCATTCTGATCCGATACATGGTATGTAAAATATAGTTATTTTTAATATAGCCCTTTCCGCCATTTTAATGACGTCATAACCGGAAACTGCAGTGGGTGCAGACGTGACACCCGAGTTGAAAACACATAATTAGACACATACATCAACATTGAATGGTAAAACTGTCTTTATAAGACTTGCGAACTGCCCTAGATGCCGGACTAATAGGCGTTTTTGCGCCAAAATTGGTGTTTTTATGAGATTTATCTAGTTTCTTGAAGTAATCTTTTGAGTAAAACATATCGAATTTGGTATTTTTGTAAAGATTTTTAAACGTTCTACAACTTTTTTCATTGGTGGTTTTTGATAAATTGTATCAATAAAACTTTACAAACAAAAATAACACAAAAATATTTAAAAATACAGGTTTTTGCAAAATTACGAAGAATGTACTAAACATACAACAAATGTGTAAATTTAAAACAGGTAGCATTTAAAATTATCTTTCAAACAAAAAAAAGTTCATTCCGATCCGACAAATAGTTTGCGAAATATACGATTTAAAAAAATCAATGGCCGCCATTTTGATGACGTCATAGCTCGAAAACGTACCAGGTGCGAACTTGACACCCGAGTGGAAAACACTTCCTAAGACACCTATATTGAAATGCAAAAGCAAAATTCTCTATACACGACATGCACACAGAACCCTAGTCAGGTCCTGGACTAACATGTGTATATTTCGGTGTTAGTCATCGTTTTTTCATGTTAGCTTATTATTTTGTATAACAGTTTAAGTCAGTTTCTGAGTTGAATGAGTTTGTTTACAATGTTGATAAAAAATACAAGTTTTAACACTAAAATGTTATGCCATCTGTTCTGGAAAATATATGTGATCGAATGTTTGGTTTGTGCAGTATTGTAAGTTCAGTACCTACATACTAACATTATTTAGAAAGGTCATTCATGATTTGGTTATTATGATCCTAGCTTATACCTACGACAGTTGTTTTTAACCGTCGTCTTTTCAATTCAATTTTTAGAATCGAAAAAAATCTACTATACTTACCTACGACCGGTTTTTAAACTAGCCTTTTCAATTAAGTTTGAGAATTCAAAAGATTCACTTTACCACATCGTTTACTTACTTTACAGCACTAAGGTGGTAAAATAACGGACCAATGAGGTTGAAGGATTGAGAGAAAAGAAGACAATTGATATAATATGTTGCTATTTGAACATTTTAAAACAATGGGCATTTGCACATTTTCAAAAATCAATTTTTTTGTAATTGTTATTGTAAAAAAAACTTTATTTGTAGCATATCACGGTAACACTAATTTCATAACGAGTCAGAAAATTCAACCGGAGAAGGGCTAAGTGCATTGGTATAGGAAACACAGAGTATTAAAAACGTATTGATTTCCCCCCAAAAAAACTGCCACCCCGTTGAAAAATAAAAATAAAATTAATTGATGTTTTCGCCAAAATGTTTGTCTATTGATTCCTTGGGGTCGATTTAGCGGGAAATAATTTGACTTCATCCTTGTAGGCCTACGTTAAGCCGTTTTTCCGTAGTCAATTTGAGACAACTTTTGTGGGAAACCCCTGCAGCAGGGATTTTTATAGGTACCGTTCTGTTTAATTTGTCACATACTTATATTAATGGGCTTTATTTATTTCCCACTAGGA